TGAAATATGAAATATGTGCAGAGATACGTGAAAACATATATGTACATATGTAAACGAAAATGAAGCTTTCCGTATAAGTTTTGTTAACGACTTCACTCAGTACCAATCAGAATAAGAGTTTTTGTTGATCTCTTCTCACAGTAGTTATCCTAATGTATGCACTCTACTCATGCTACTTATGCATATGCAAATGAGAGTTCATGAATATTGTGGAATCAGCCGTTAGTGCCCATTCGAATCTGCACTTACCGCAGCGCAGATCGAATTATTGAACAGTATAAACGTTGTTAGTTTTCAAACATATACTATGCTTTAGTATGTAAATACACACACAAACATTTAAATATTCATGTCTTTTTTTCTGCTTGCTTATCTGTCCAATTCTTGTTCGGTTTCCGTTTTTAGAATAGTTTTGCTTGTGTGAGTGAATTGTTTTTGTTGCCTAAGATTATATATTTTATCGAGAGATTTTGCTGTTGGTATATTTCATTTAGAGCTTTGTAGGGCAACAGAATTCTCACACACAAATAGAATACAAAAATGCATTTGGCGCGTAACAAGTACTCGAATTTTAGCAAGAAAAACAATAACAAAAGCATATGTATATGTATATATATTAAAAAAAAAAAAAAAAACAACTCATATTGCCGGTAAACTCAATTTATGTTGTTTAAATTCATGTTGCTTTTTTTTATAGGGCTTTTTTTTTTTTTTTTTTTTTTTTTTTTTTTTTGCTTTGCTTAAGCGTTTATAAAATGAGAGCGAGAGAGCGAGAGATAAAGAGAAACGCGATCAAGAAATTTTTTGTAGTAATTTTCCATGCAATAACAAATGTTTTTCAGTTTTTATTTTGTATTCATTTTCTGATTTTGTTATTGTATTCTTCGTTCTCTCATAAATAAATATTTTTTCGTGCTGTCTTAAGACAATTTGTTTTTGTATGTGTAAAAACTGCGGAGTAATTTACCAGAACAAATAATAGTAATAAATCACACAACTAAAAACGAATTGAACGAAACGAATTTAGAAAATAAAAAAAATAAAAACACTTTTTGTGCTGCTTCTTTTATCTGTTCGGCTCTGTTTGTGGCTCGAGACTTAAGTAAAAGCTGGGCTTTGAGCGGCTTTTAAAAGGCGCGTCCCGTTAACTCGCCGACGACAACCGAACGCGGCCACTGACAAAATCAAACTGAAATCAGCCCCAGCTGCTGTCTGCCTGCCTGGCTGGCTGACTGCTTGGTCGGTCGGTCGGTCGGTAAACAGCACAGCACGAAAGCTATACGAATGTTGTTGTTGTGTTTGATATTGAGTTGTTGTGTATGCGTGCGAGCGAGCAGCGCTCTTCATATGCACCCACACAGTTGCAGTAAGCTTATTACGTCCAGCCGAGAACAAGAGGGATAGCAAACATAGGCAAATGAGAGCAGAGTAGCAACAGGCAGTCGAAAAGCAGCGGCAGCAACAACAACAACGCTATACGCTACTGCATATATATATATCAATGTGTGAATATGCTTTGTGTGTAATGTACGTATGATTGTATCTGTGTGAATAAAGAAGTTAAATTCGGTTATTAAAGTGCACTCCTCTTGAGCTATAATGCAAATGTTTATTACTAATGAAATATTTAAAACATTCAATATACATTAAATTTGTATTTGCCTATTTATATTACACTTATATATGCCTATTTGACGGATTGTAGCGGAGCTAATAAGTCATAGATGCCTATTTACATTTGTGTGTTCTTTGATATTTTCTGTTTTTTTTTTTTTTATTATATACATATGAATGTATGTATGTATTTTATTTAGTTGTTTTCTACATCTCTACGTGTGTGCAGCGCACATGTGAAACATAGCAGAAGGGAGAGGAGTTGGAGGAGAGGAGCAACAACATTGACACGGCGCGACAAAAACGACGCTTGATATGATTGAACTCTTAAATTGTCCCGCTACTCTGCGTTTCGCCCACCTTCCACCTATAGTTCTACGTTGGCCTATGCATGCGTGTATCTAGATAAATGCATATGTGTTGGTAATTTGTATGTGTGTGCGTTTTTGGCTCTTGTGTGTGTTTGTTAGTGCTTTGCAACGTTCGCATTCTCAGTGTCTGCTCAATTATCAACAGTTTGTTTGTTTGGCCGCTTTGTCTCCTTCGCCGTGTGTGTACACAAAGCAAAGTGCCAAAGCAAAGGCACATGCAAAGGCAAAAGTAAAAGCAATTGTTGCTGCCTATCATAACAATAACAAGAAGAGCTCGAAAATAGCGAATAGCAGGGGCCAGTGTGAGTAAGTGAGTGAATATGCAGCATGTATGGGTGTGTATATTAACAGTTTATTGTTGTTACATTTATAAATGGCGCGCTCATTTTATATTCAAAGCGAAGAATTAATAAATTATTAATAATATATACACATACATACATATATACAAATGCACTTATGTACATAAGTATGTGGGTGTTTGTATATAGCAAAGGCGAGTGCAAAGTTCTATATGGGCAACTATTAAAATGATTGTCAGCTATAATCAGACATTTGCGTTATAAGTGCATACATATAAACATACATACTACAAATGTACAATCATACATATGTATATGTATGTATGTACGTAAGTATATACATATGTATGTAAATCTACAGTCTAGATTCTATTATCAGTTATTTTTTCTTCTTGTTTTTGTTTTTTGTTGATAACAAATATTCACACAAATATATAAATATATACAAATGTCTGCATATTTACATACTCGAATGTACATATGTATATATGTATATATGAACGTATGTATGTTGATTAATGAACCATTTTCGCACTGAGTGGGTTATAATACGAGCTATCTATGGAGAAGCCCCCCATTGTGCATACAAACATATGTATGTATGTATGTATGTACATTGTATATGCACATAAATATATATATATACATATGTGTCTATATATGTATATTTATATTATATGATAAGAGCCGATGACCGATTTAGTTCTATATGTGTATGTATATACAAACATACATAATACTACATTAAAACTCTGCCTTTAAATGATAACTAGCGTAGACTCTGAAAACAGACGCTGTCAAGAAATAAATACCGATTGGGCCCTATCGACTATTTAATACTCTATAGACGTACGTTCTATACATATGTATGTACATCGAAGATTGAGGGCATTTCACATTCATCTCTCGTTTCCAATAGTCTTGCAAGGAATATGCATTCACACACACATTGATACTGTGGTAGAAACTTATAGCACGAATATAAAATATTCCTATATGACCAATGTTAATATATTAGCAATTGCATAAACTTAATTAACCACGATCAAGAAATATTTAATATTGATATTTCCTATTTGATATTTGTGAATTTGTGAATTTAATATCTGTTCTGATTTATTGAAGTTTATTGGAAATGTAAGCAGTCAAGCAACAAGCTTAAATTAAATTCTTTTTTAAATTCCTTGGCTGCATTTATTGAAATATACCGTAAAGCCCCTTTGCATGGCATTCCTTACTAACGCTCTCTCTCTTTCCCTCTCTTTCCTACAAGCTCTCTCGAAATCTGTTCGAAATTTACACTCCCCCTCTTGCTAGCTCGCTCGCACTAACTGCCAATCTGGCTGGCCCTTTGGCATAATTGCAGTGCCATTTGAGCAGTTCACCTGGACATGGGACAGGGAAAACAGTTTGCATGCCATTTGTCAACTTTTTTCGAAAATACACGGCGCACTGGGCACAATTAGTGAACGTGTACGCCACCACAAAATAAAAGGACTGCAAAAAAAGTACAGATAAAAAAATGAACAGAAAATATTACAAAATGCATCAGTGCTGACAGTTTAGAGCTCTAGCCTTTTTTTGACCATTCATTCTCTCTCTCGGTCTCTCTATCTCGCTGTCTCTTTCTTTCTTCCTCACTTTTTCAAATAGTTTTGGGGTACTCCACATTAGGCCATTTTTAATTTACCCTCCGCATTCTGTCTGTCAACATGTGTCATGCTGTCAGCTTAGCCTTTTCGAGCAGAAAGTTAGCCAATGTATTTTTAACTTAATTAGCTAATTTATATTTAGTACACTCTTATTTATCTTTAATATGCTTAAAAAATATATAATAATGCATTGATATGGAAAGAATATATATATTGATAAAAAATTTTAGAAAACGCTGCTCAACACTATTCGTATACAAGCAAAAAAGAAAAAACCGACTGCAGAAAATCTGAAAAACATCCGCATTCGCAGGTTGTCAATTAATTGTGCTGAAACCCTGCATGTGAGTGGGCCAAGAGAGAGAGAGAGAGAGAGAGAGAGAGAGAGAGAGAGAGAGAGAGTGATACAAGGATGTGCATGTAACTTTTTTAAATGGCCAAAACATTTACATGAATCGTTGAAGTATACAGAAGAGGAGATGTTGGAGCCCACCCCTGCTTTAACTGTTGCCATCGAAGTGTATTTTCGCATCACTGCTTGCATGTGGACATGGCTTGGTGAATCAGTGTGCCTGAGTGCCTGATAACCAACTAGTAATGGAGCCGTTAATCTGGCATAGAAACTTGCATACTGATTATGCCAATAAATAAAGGATTCAAAAAAAAAAAAATAATAATAAACACTTAATTAAAAAAAATGGTCCTCATTGGTTATTAAAAATTTTTCGATAGTATATTCAAATCTTAAATGTTATCAGTAAATTGGCGCCTTATGAACTGTCATCACTATTCAGCACTGACAGCTGTTTGAGTTACTCATTTTGGTAATTAATCATCGTTTAAAATTATAATCGATAGCTGATGTGAAGCAAAAGCTGCTCTGTTTTTGCTGCTGTTTGCTGTGGCAGCAGTGGCTGTGAAATTTAATTTCAAGAGTCACTCGTCAATACAATCTTCAGGTTGACGCATCGTAAAACTGTCTATGGTTTTTACTAATTGGAAATCTCTCTCGCGAAGATAATATCTGCATTAAATAAAATAAGTCAACATAATTTGAATTTCTGCGCGCTCCTAATAACCGGTCCGCTCATCTCCAGTCTTCTGCCTTTTCGGGGTGCCCACAGTTGCATTAATTCTAATGCTCTGAGTGTGTGTGGCACATTTAACCGGAAAATTAATTCATTTTTGTGTCACAGAAATGGCATCGCCGAAGGGCCAAAGCCGTGTTGATTCCCGGCGTAAAAAGACGACCAACCGCTTACAGAAGTTCAAGGAAAAATACCTTAGCTGGAAGTATGCTCGATATTTGGCTCTCGATCCGTCGGCTCTGCCGATTGTTGCTCTGCTGATTGTTTTGGCTGAGGCGGTGATCAACGTATTGGTTATTCAGCATGTGCCCTACACCGAGATCGATTGGGTGGCTTATATGCAGGTAGGACAAAGAAAGAGAGAGAGAGATCGGGTGGCTCTACTCACATGGTAATTCACATATTTTCAGGAATGTGAAGGCTTTCTGAACGGCACCACAAATTATGCGCTGTTGCGAGGTAAGTAAATTTCCTTTTAGTTTATTTTTGGAAACCAGGCAGCCGTTAAAAAACAGAGAGAGAGAGTCCGTGAGAGAACCAAAGAGAACTGCCCATTAACAGTAGGGAAGTTATGCAAAAGACAGTATTTTGGTACCAATTTTCCTTATATCATTAACGAAATTTCCCTACCCTTATCATTAACCCATTCCCTTTACATCAATGAATTCCGCAATGTTGTCCCTTTTCCTTTTGGAATTTTTAGATTCCGTTCATTTGCATTTAGTTAAGTAACGGTAACTACAAAACAAACTTATCGAAGACAAGGAGAATGTCGACTTTCAATTTGGTTGTATTTTTCTTGGATTTGTTTCCACTTAATAGAATCTATGTATATAGTCCCTAGACTGTACAATAACAAAACTTAAAAGAAAGAAAAATTAAGGCATTTGTAGGTCAATTGGCGATTACAAAACAGTTATCGATAACAAGACAGACAAATTCAACTCAGTTGAACAAGGATTTGATTTTACTAAGGAAGCCTATGCCGCCGCTTCCGCCACTTTCTCCTGTTCGCCTTTCGGATTTTTCGATTTCTTCGTCCTTCGTTGTGCTTGTTGCTGTTGCTTCTGTGGCTCTGCTTTCTCCTTGAGTTCCTTTGGCTGTTCCTTCTCTACCTTCTGGCCCGTTCGCTTTGCTAGGACCTGCGCTGGAAGCAGATGAATAAGGAAGTTAAGTAACATAAATGATGGAGCTGTTAGCGGGAATTGTTTAGGCATAATAGCGCAAGACTGTTGGAGTGAGCATTGGAGGTATTAAAGTTGGACCACCATTCCGTGAGGCGGAATAAAGTGACCAACATAAAATGGGGTAGGCCCATTCCGTATGTTCCGAAGTGGAACTAGGAATTAATCGTAAATTTTAACCGAATAGCATGGGAAAATTTAAAAAAGCTCAAATTTACAAGTTGGGGTCATTTGAGAAGAGAACTTTTAGGACTTTATAACTTATATAACTTTAGATTACACTACAACTGACAATTAGTTAGCTGTTTGAAGCTTGACTGTGTGCCAACATTACGTAAATTGAACGACCTAGTTATTTACAATGAGAAAATATTTAAAATGGGCCACCAAATTTCAAGTTTGAGCAGTGTAAGGACTATATGGCAGTGGCCTGTTTCCTCGATCGGAAATGAGCTATGCTGAAATTGAGAGCCCGATCGATCGATCTATAAGTTGCGTATAGATTGTAGGCATTAGATTATATTTAAAATATCATAAAGAGGATGATGCAAATACAGATCTGCGTTCCCCTGCTCTTCCGTTTGCTTTGGATGGGTCTTCTCAAAAGTTGGGAGTTTAAAGTATTTACGTTGCTTTCTTACTGCCGTCTTTGCGCTCCGCCATGCCGTTGATTTGCCCGGGCGTGTCCTCCTCCAGCTCGGCGTAGGCCTCTATGAGCGCGCGCTGCTGCTGGCTCAGCTTCTTGGGGATGTCGATCTTGATGTGAACGAAGTGGTCGCCATGGCCGTGGGCATTGACACGCTTCAACCCCTTGCCGCGCAAGGCGATCTTGCGATGCGACGAGGTGCCCGGCTCGATGTTCAGCCACTGGTCCTCGTAGACGCCCTGGACGCGGATGGTGCCGCCGAGCACGGCCTGGGAGAGCGAGATGGGCGCGTCCGTGTGGACGTCGGCGCCATCCCGCCGGAAGTAGTCGCTGCGCTCGACGCGGAACGTGATGAAGAGCTCCTTGCTGCCCACTTGCATGCGCACCGTTTGGCCGTTCTCGATGCCCGCGGGCACCGGCACCGTCACCTTGCGGCGCTGCACTGTCCGGCCCTTGCCCTCGCACTCGGCGCACGGGTACTTGATGTACTGGCGTGTGCCCTGGCAATACCGGCAGGTGGAGCGCATGACGAAGGGGCCCGTGGAGATGGTCTCGAAGCCGCTGCCGTTGCAGTACTGGCAGCGGCCTGGCTTGGTGCCCGGCTCGCACTTGGAGCCAGCGCACTTGGGGCACTGGTCGACGACGTTGACGTTGACGTCCTTGTTGATGCCACGCGCCGCCTGGGCGAAGGTCAGATCCATGACCAGCTCCTGTGCCTGGCCAAAGCCGAATTTCGAGTCAGCGAAGTCGTCGAAGTTGTTGCTGCGAAAGTTGCCCTCGCCGAAGATCTTGCGGAAGAGCTCCTCGGGGTCGATGGTCGACCGGAATTGCCAGTTCTGTGCGAAGCCCTCGGCTCCGAAGGGGCCGCCGCCTCCGAATCCTCCCGCGCCACCTTGCCTGTTCATGTTCTCTGTGGTCTGGCCGTAGGTGTCGTATTCTCGCCTCTTCTGATCATCGCTGAGCACTTCGTAGGCCTCGCTCACCTCCTGAAACTTTTTGCTCGCATCGGGATCGTCTTTGTTCGTGTCCGGATGGTATTTCTTGGCCAGCTGGTAGTATGCCTTCTTGATGTCCTTCGCACTGGCATTCTTGGCCACGCCAAGTGTGGCGTAGTAGTCCTTGGCGTTCAGGCGACTCGAGCTGAAGATACTTCGCCTTTGCTGCTGCTGCTGTTGTAGTTGCTGCTGCCGCTGGTGTGGCGCCCTCTGCTGCCAGGCAGAGGTAGCAACTCCAGCCGTTGAACTGGCAGCGGCTCTCGTCGTCCAACTGGCCAGCCGCCCGGACAGCAGTGTGGCGTTGTATTGACGGCAGCAGCCCTTGAACGGCAGTTGGCGCAAAACACATAAATTTTTACACGAAATCATTTTGTCCATTAATTGTTGTAGTTAAACTCTATTTATCTTCTCTCTCTCTATTTGGCAGCCAGCTCTAACAACATGCCGTAATAACCTCCATGCTGCTTAATACAAATGTTCTCTCTCTCATTTTTTTCACTTTGACATTTTGACAGTCACCGCGTTGCGTAAACAGTTCGCTCACGAACGCACACATGTGTTCGATAGATTGTTCTCGCAAAATGATTTTGCCGCCAACTGAACAGCTGTTGTAGAGAGATAGAGGTAACGTGTAATCGAGCTAATTTAATTGCTGGTCTTTTCGATAACATTGCTTTGCCCGCCATCATCGAGATTTTAATTACTTTCACAGTGTATGTTTTGAACCTTCCACAGGTGACACCGGCCCGTTGGTCTATCCGGCTGCCTTTGTTTACATATACTCTGCACTCTACTACCTGACCGCCCACGGCAGCAACGTGCGCCTGGCCCAGTACATATACATCGGCATCTACTTGCTACAAATGTGCCTCGCTCTGCGGCTTTATGCCAAGAGTCGCAAGGTGCCGCCTTATATGTTGGTGCTGACCGCCTTTACGTCGTATCGCATACACTCGATCTATGTGCTGCGCCTCTTCAACGATCCCGTGGCTGTGCTGCTGCTATACGCATCGCTCAATCTCTTCATGGATAGCCGCTGGTTATGGGGCACCATATTCTATAGTCTCGCTGTAGGCGTTAAGATGAACATTTTGCTCTTTGCGCCGGCGCTGCTGCTGTTCTACCTGGCCAACCTGGGCGTGCTTTTGACTATAGTGCACCTCTTCATATGCGGACTAATCCAGGTAGTGATAGCTTATCCCTTTCTGCGCACCCATCCGGTGGAGTATCTGACCGGGAGCTTCGACCTGGGACGCATCTTCGAGCACAAGTGGACGGTGAACTATAGGTTCCTGAGTCGGGAGCTGTTCGAGCAGCGCGAGTTTCATTTGGCGCTACTGGGACTGCACCTGCTATTGCTCCTGGCCTTTGCCAAGTACACCTGGACGTTCTTCAAGAGCTACGTGCACCTGCGCGAGGTGCAGCAGATTATATTGCCCCAACTGATGCTGAAGAATCGTGAGGAGAAAGAGAAAGCGAAGGCTGCTAAGAAAAAATCCCATCATAAGAGCAAATCGAAGAAGTCCCAGCAGCAGGAGCAAGCGCAGGAGTTGGAGCCGGGCAACAAGGAGGAGGATGAGGAGGAGTTAACGGCGGAGCAAAAGTCCTTCCTGAAGTCATTCGAAAAGGGATTGCAGAACGCCACCGGGCAAAAGCGACCCCCTGCCCCAGTCAAGGAGCCCAAGCGGAAGCCCTACGAAATCTCCTTCGAGCACTGCACCCAGTTGGCTCTGCTGCCCTTCTTCCTTTGCAACTTCATCGGCGTCGTCTGCGCCCGCTCGCTGCATTATCAGTTCTATGTTTGGTACTTTCACTCGCTGCCCTACCTGGTCTGGTCCACGCCGTACTCGGTGGGCGTACGGTTCCTAATCCTGGGCGGCATCGAGTATAGCTTCAATACCTATCCGAGCACCAACCTCTCCAGCATCGTTCTGCACGTGAGCCACCTGGTGTTGCTGGTGGGCGTTGCACGTCATATCCGCCATATCATAAAGCTAAATACGCTTGTCAAGCAGAAGCGTCAGCTGGAGCAGCAGCAGCAACTGGAGCGCGAGGAGGAGAGGAAGCAAGTACAGCTAACGAATGATGACCCAAAGATCACAAAGAAATTGCAATAGACGACAAGCTCTTAAAATTTAGAACATGTTAAAGAGAATTAAGATTTATGAAAGCTTAGCTAGTTGAACAAAAATAAGACTTGAATTGTTTTAATTGTTTCACTGGGATGAACTCCATGGGGATACATCGAGTAGCTCGAGGAGCCCAGTAATACCCATTATTTGGTCTTCGAATCCTGCACTCGCCATTAAAGAACAAAGTTGGTGCAGACTTAACTTTAAAAACAAGTTCAGTTTTTATTGTCGTTAAAAGTAAACTTGACCCAGCCAAAAGCGCATGCATGTCAGGAGAACTTAGAGCTACACAGACTATATATATGTTAGATATACTATATAGATTACAAATATGATATATTAAATATAGTTTTTGTACAAAAGAGTGAAAGGCCATTTCGTTGACTTAAGCTGGGGAAAGGACTTAAATTTGGAGACTTAGACTATGTCCAGTAAAGAGAATCGGTAAGGGGATCGGGATGGGTAGGGCTGAATTTGGGGTTCGTGTTTGTACAACAGTAGGAGAGGGCATATTCCGTGGCTACAGGGTCAGTCACTGCCAACGGCTGCCCTGGGCGTGTGCCGCAGCAGGGGACTCGTTGCAGCGGGCACTGAAGCTGGCGGAGACAAGGGATTCAGGTCGGCTTGGCTGGCAGCAGCATCGGCAGCTTCAGTCACGCTTCCACTGCGCTGTACACTGAAGAAGCGCAGCAGCGTCGTCTCGCTATTCCGCCTGCTCGAGGTGGGCGTTCGGAGATGCGGCGCATTGTTATCGGAATGCGATATGCGCCGCCTGGGCGTCGCCTGCAGGCGGGGACTGCACTCGGAGTGGCGCAGGCTTTGGAGACGCGGCGACGAGGCCAGCACATCCAGCGATGCATCCTCCATGCCCATCTTCTCGCTGAGCGTCAGGCTGCCTCGGCTCATCAACTTCTGTTTGCGTATCTTCGTCAGCCAGTCGACCTTCTCCTTGGCTTTGCGCTTGGGCGACATGATGGTCAGGTGCGGTGCCTCGCCGTCCAGCACATAGTTGGGCAGGTTCGAGGTGGGCGAGTAGATCAACGAGCTGAGCGAGGGCGGCGAAAGCGAGGAGTTTTCTGAGTTCGCTGAGCTGGCTCCAGCTGCAATTGCAGCTGCGGCTGCGGCTGCCGCTTGAGCAGACGTAGTGGGCGGCGAGTTGTAGTTGTGATTCGTCGGCAGCTCACTCAAGGGTGAAGGTGTCGACAGCTTGGCGGCTGCTGTCGAGGGGGCTGTCAGTTGCTCCTGGACATTCTCCTGATTGCTGGACAGCGTGGCAGATGCTTCCTCCTCAACTATGCCTGGTAGCTGCTGCTGCTGCTGCTGCGGCTGCGGCTGACTGCTAGCTGCGAATAGGCGACGTCCTCGGGACTCAAAGCTCTTGGTGCGCTTCTGCTGCGGCTGTTCCAGCTGTTGGTCCATCTGACTGCTATCGCCGCCAGCGCCAATGCCGCCCAGCATTTCCAGGAAGGAACGCTTGATGCTTGTCTTCTCCACGGAGCTGGGCGTGCGCTCGTTCTGCTCCATGAGCCGCTTCAACGAGCGCGGCGTCGACTCCAAGTCTCGCAGATTGTACTTGTGCTGCGAAGAGGAGCTGGCCTTGGCTGCCGCACCGAACTCCCTCACATAGCTCGACTGTCCACGAAACAGCTCTGCTCGCTCGGCGGCCGTCAGGCTCTCCGGCTGAGGGCCAATGCGCCAAATCTTGTGCCTGGCATCGTCGCTGCAGGTGACAATGGGACGATCATGCGTGGAGCCCCAGGCCACACAGGTGACCTCTACTGTGTGGCCAGCGAGGGCAACCAACGGCTCAGCAGCATGGTCCAAGTTCCAGATGTAGGCCCTCTCGTCGCTGCTGCCGCTGAGCAAGTACTTGCCATCCGGGCTGAGGCAGCTCTTGATGTAGAACGTGGAGTTGAGCAGGCCCTTGTAGCTGGCAATGGGCTTGGCTGCATACGAGACGAGGTTGTAGCAGTAGATCGTGTTGTCCATGCAGTTGGCGTAGAGCCGCGTGCCCGATGCATCGACTATCAGATTGGTGAATCCCTTGAACGTGGAGGAGCCGGCATAGGGCAGGCTGTGCCTGGGCAATGGCTCCTTCTTGTATGCCGAGTAATTGCGCCTCAGATCCCACACCTTGATAACACCATCGCCAGCTCCGCACGAGATCAGCGTGTCGTTGTCTTGGAAGGCCAAGCCTGTGATGCTGCTCGACGTGTTGCTGTTGTAAGTGGTCATCTTGGGCGTTCTGGTCCTCTGCCTGCGCTGCGACTGCGGTGTGCCCGGCCCACCCGTGTGACCGCTGTAGATGCAGTTGTCCACACGCGAAGTCAGATCCGCGTGGAGGCACGCGCGTATATCCCAGATCAGTATGGCGCCATCGCGTCCGCCTGTGGCAAAGACTGCCGAATCCGTGCGCTTGAAGGCGGCCGTCTTCACGGATCTGGTGTGACCCACGTAGGAGTTCAGACCCCGTATGCCTGACCCGGAGACTTCCCACAGACGGGCCGTGTGATCCCCCGAGGCAGACACGAAGCGCATTTGTCCCGGCGCCCACTCCAAGTCGAAGACCGCATTGAAGTGGCATTGTGGGGCACTCAGTGCCTGCTCCTCCGTCTCCTGGTTGCGTACCGTCGTGTCCTGCAGTGCAATCTTGCCATCCTCGTTGGCTATCGCCAGAATATGTCGGTAGCCATCACAGTTGGCGAACTTCGCAGAAAATATCGGGGGCTCCGGATTGAAGTCCGGACTGTAGTTGGCCGGCGCAATGCCGCGCCAGCTGTCCTGCTTGTAGACGCACAAGCGATGCAGCGCAAAATCATAGGAGCAATTATTGGCTGCAATGGCAGTTAATTAGTTATAAATTCGTTTAAAATGCTTTCGCGCTTTGTTTACGTTCCAAATTTGCTTTTGCAAACTCAGCAAAATCTCAATAACTCATATTACAACACTTTCAACTTAATTTACATTGCAATTTTCTAACTCACAACAAATTTCTTTTTGGCGCTCGATTTAACCGCGCAAGGAGCGATCGGCGCGAACTCTTCTTCTTCATTTCGAGCGCCAAAAAAAATTGTTTTTACTTTCGCCTTACCCAATCCATGTTCTCTGCTGCGCAGTCTGTTGTATATGTTCATTATAAATACTTCTTTCCGTTCAATTTGCTAGTTTTCAACACGACTTTTATCTACTTGTATTTGGTATATAAGCTATTTCTTTTTAATTAAACTCGCATTTAGTACATATTCCCTGCTTGCGACGCAATCCCTAATAAAATAGTCGACAATGTCAACAAAACTGTTAACGTTACGCTTCTTAACATGAGCGCTGGCAGCAACAATCGAAATATCGATAGTTGATTTTACAAAATTTATGTAGTTTCTGTTTTGAAAATAATAAAAGTTCATGCTAAGAACACTACAATTCTACTCCACTAATAATTAATAATACCAATTTAAATTTTTATTAATTACATGCTTTTAATAGCAGAATAACAACTACAGAAGTGTTCATCGTAAATCTTTAAATTGGAACATTAATCATTATATTTAATTAATATAGAAGTATTACCTGTACACACACATAGTAATTATTCGATATATCAATATTTAAATAAAACAGAAATGATCAAAAATAAAAAACCTAAAATAAATTTTAAAGAAAAATTTATTTTGTTTATTTATTAGTTTTGGCGGTATTTTGTAGTGGTTCTTTTATTTTTGAAAGTATCGATTATATTTTGATACAACTAACAGTACTCGTTTATCTAACATCAGAGTACAGCTGTTATATTCAAAATCAAAATCTAGAACCGATTCTACAGTTGAATATATTTCATATAATATTTATTATTTATTATCGTAAGCTATATTAAACAAATGTTGTCCATAGAAGATAAATTCTCAAGCAGATTGTTAGCTATAGAACATTGTTTGCTGTTAATAACAGTTTGAGGTAATGTTAAGATGATTCCATGTACTTACGTAGGTACGCATAAAGACTCGATATATTTCTTATATGCCATAGAAATAGTAGTTACTCGAAATGGATACTTTTTCATTGAATCACTAGGCTTAAGTTTGACTACTCACTAACACACCTACAAACACATGTGTGTGTACATTATTATTATTTTTTTTCGTTTTTGATTTCGGCATCGGAAACATTTCAACCAGAATTTGCTCGCAGTAAGATTCTCTCTTCCAATCGGGTCGGTCGTAAGTGCGAGGAGCGTGGTGCAAAGAAAACGTTCGCTTTTTATTTTTTTGACGCACGCATAGTGCGATTACAAAATAAATAGATATATGTACATATGTATTGTACGCAGAGCAAGCAAGGAATAAAAAATTATTGCACAAAATTGATAAAAGTCCAAAAAGCCACAACAAAGCACAAAAATAAAGTTTTCTATAATTTTCCGTAATTTGTTGAACGCGACGTCGGAATTCTCTCATTGTGAACCACAACCACGCGCTAAATTGTGAATTAACTGAGTTCCAAATGAAGCAGTAAAGGCAAAAAGAGAATACCAGAAAATCAAAATCAAAATGCTCGAATCGCCCAAATTTATTGAGAATGATTGTTACGATGGCAGCCGCATTTTTTCCTGGCTAGCCGACATGGTTGGGCTGTCTGTTGATTTGGTAAGTTATATGTGTATGTACATACATTCATATCTTTAAAAAAAAGAAGAAAACAAACAACCAACTACTGCATATAAGAAACCAGTATATCCACATTGTTGTTACGGGCTCCATTTAATTGTTAAACACAAGGATTGCCTCACCCTGTGCCATTGCGAGCTGAAGGCTAAACGCCGGCTGCATATATTACCTGCTACATTCCCTCCCTTCCTCTTGCCATCTTACTCGCACAAAGGCACGTGCAACATGTCATTGCCAAAACAGTGATTTTGTTTTTCTTTCTTTCTTATTTTGTAATCGAATTCGTTATTTTCGAAGTGCGATTCACTTAACCACTCTTTGAACTCGCTCCTTGTTTCCTAATTAGGCATTTTATTTGCTTTTTATTTTTTGCGCTCTACTTTCTTTGCATATTGCGACCCAGCACGCTGTCATTAACCTTTGCCCATTGTTATTGTTGTGAAATCATGTACACACGCAATTTGTATGGAATTCAATTAGAGTTGGGGTGAATGTCGTGACACGAAAGGGTCTCCAACTATCTCTAGTTTATATATTTTTGTTTTTGGTTATACAATCGAATTGAATGCATAAATTATTGATTTGCTGATTAATTCAACACGTGTATATATATTTGTTATTCATGTTGTGAGTGCATCATCTTATAAAATTGTGTAATTGAATGAGTTCGTTGCGAATTAATCACAACACTTGAAGCGCTGCCAATTGAGCAAACAGCTGAGACTGCAACAGACGAGGCGACACGTTTAGCCCACACACTCTCTCACACACACACATACACAGAGATATATATACGCGCGCATTTGCATAAATGAAGCCGTGAGAACACAATATCAAATGAGCGAAACGAGAGAGTGTGATTAACTGTGAACACTTAGCTGCATAGATATGCAATATCAAATGAGAGCAGCAAGAGAGACGGAGAGTATGCGATGAAGTGCAGCAACTGCGTGCCTATATATGCCAATGTGTGTGTGTGTCTATAATGTGTATGTGTATGCGTACTTCTGAGCTTGTTAAATCCGTTTCGAGTGGCGCTAAGCAGGCAACTAATCTAATGCAACGAATGTGTATGTGTGGAAGTGCAAGCAATTGGCTGATGTATTAACAATTTCAAATGCTCGTCATTTTTTTCTTTTGATGATCTAATCCCCCATATGTCGTCAGCCCAGTGTAAAATATGAATCTTATTCTACAACAACAAGCGTGCTAACAACTTCGTTCGCTATTTAAATTTAAAGTGATGATGTTTGTTTGTAAACAAAGAATTGGCAACAGCTGAGTGAGTGCGACAGAGAGAGCGAGAGAAGGAGAGTGAGAGTAGTCATTGGATGAGTCAGTTTGTACCGTAGACCATGGCTCACACACATGCACATAGTGTTTCTGTTGCGCACGAATTGCTTCTTCGCTATAAACAGTTAACATTAACTATTTTTCTTCTTTTGAGCTGTGTCACATTTCGATTCGCAAGAAGGTCGTGGTGTATGTGTGTGTGTGTAGGTGGGTGGTGTGACGCCATTTGTCGTAGCATGGTGTAATCGGTCAATCTACCAGCTTTATCATCAGCACCGAATATTTGATTAGTTTTATTATATAAATTGTTGCGAAGGCCAAAGCCAAGCACGCAAATAAGCACGAAGCATTATTATATTTCTGCCTAAAGTGCAAATTGGCCAATTGTTGCAGTCCAATAAATGTCTTCTGAGATGTGCAAATGAAAAGCATCGAAAAGAGCCGGCAAGTTCTCTCTTATTCTCTTCACATATGTAAATATAAACATAAATACATACATATATCTCACCCACCCGTTTACTCTCTTTATGTCTTCTTTTGTATGCGTCGCACTCGAAATACTAAGGCAAATGCGCAGCAACAGTGGTGAACATGTGAACTTGAGCGAACCAGTTCAACTGCGCTGTAAATTCATTACCAGCGATACGTGTCGAAGCAGTCTTCAAGAAGAGAGCTAGTTACAATTGTAATCGGTAGTCTCTCTCTCTCTCATTTTCTCTTCCTCTCTGTGCATATATAATTAATATATGTATATGAATGTGAAGTCAAGTGCGCAGCAAGACAACATGAACTTGTGAGTCTAAGCCACTCGACACGTGCGAGCAAATGCGCCTTTTAAATGATTTCTAGAGATGCGTGCCAACCAGTTGCGCCCCCTGTTGTTGCTGGGGAGAAAGCGAGAGCGTAAATGTTCTCTCTTTGCCATTTTCTGCCATGCATAAATAATATGAAATTAATATTTGTGTATGACCTTGAGGTTGTGTGTAAGTGTGTGCGCTACTCTTTGAAATTGTTGATTATTTGCTAGCTGCCAATTGTCAGCTGTTGCTTCGCAAGTGGCGCCACTAAGTATATGTATTTTATTATAAGTATACATTCATCTAGAAAAATATATATTTATAGCAATGTTTGTTTTGTGCAACCAATCAAAATTGAAATATAAGTAATATACATATATAGTTTATATTTCCGTTACCCTGGCGATCGTTCCATCTCTAGCTGTAATTGAAAACCCAAAATGCGTAATGCGTTCATCACTTTATAGAACCTTCTGCCCTTATCTACCTGTGAGCACTTGGGCTTTGCCGCCAACTTTAAAACCATATTGTGTTTCTTTTATTTTTTTATCACACAGAATGTGATTGTTGCTGCTTTTATTGTTTTCATGTTTATTTATAGTCATCACGCCACCTTTATTTTTTATTTTTATTTTTTTGTTATGCTGAAATTTGGCGATTTATACAAAGTCCATTGCGTGAAAGGCAAAGTGCAAAGCTGGGGGTGAATTTAATTTAACTTTTTATGCTTTGTTTTCATTCTAATTTTTGCATTATTTATTTTGTGTGCACTGCAAAAAGAAAGCAAAGTCATTCACACATGTTAAGTGCTCGATTAATGCTTTTTATTGGCTACAAGCCCCTAAAATTCTATGCAACAATTTAAGAGCCCCAGTCAAACTGGGAAGGAGGCAGGCTGCGTTTCAAGTGGTTAAAGCCGGCTTGAACAAGCTTTTTATGGGACGAACAAAGGCGATGAAAGTGAAAACTAGAAGAAGAATGAGAGAGAAGCTAATAGGTAGAGATGAACGATAGTCACAGTGAATGTCACTAACATAATCAGCCATCAGTATAGCTCTTTATAGATATTTGGTAGTAACGGAATATGAAAAGCAGGTGTGGAAAGAGAAGAAGCTAAAATGGGGGGTAAGAGGTCGCAGAATAGCCAATAGAGGAGGGTTACCATTACCTGGCATTCTTGTCAGTCTTGTGACTCTGTCACTGTTTAATTTACTCGGCTCTAACGGGATGTTCAACACAATCTTTTGCATTGTTATGGAACAAGGCTTATTAGCTTGACCTTATACTAGATAGACAGATAATAATATGGATGCCCTTTGCATGGACAATGCAAGCAAGCTGCGTGGATGCAGCAGCTTTTCCGGCGGAAAAACAAGGGAAGAATGGCTGAACTGTGTGTATTATGCATTTATATAAAATCGCAGACTGCTTCAAATCGAAAGAGAGAGAGACAGAGAGAGAAATTGAATAAGTGCTTGAGGGAAAGAGCGAGAGATGGGTAGAGAAATAAAAATTACAACACGTTATTGAAATCACGAAAATAGCTAATGTAGTTCTATTTTAAATAACTGTTCCACTACATCATACAAATAAAATTGTTGTTAGCTTTCACGGCTCGGCGGATCATTACCCATCGATCTATTGAATGATATATATGTATTACCTGATATTATAGCTGTAATTATAAAATATATATTACCAGATACAGTTCCACGCGCTGTTGGGTCACATGCTCAATTTAGTCATCTCACCTTGAGCTCTTATATATTGATACCTGTTTTATTTTATTTATTTATTTATTTTTTTGTTGCCTAAGCACATATACAAATAAATGAGAGCTTCAATTTGTGATGTAGTTGCTTGTTTCTCTCTGTCTACCGTTGTTAGTGTTCCCCCTTTTGTCTCTCTCCTTTTCTTATCATGGGGTTCTCTAACGAAGACCTTGGCTTAGCTCAGCCGTCTGACAGACAACTTCCTTCTGCGTACTTGTCTTTCAAGCGGGCTTTTTTGCTTCATAGTATGTCTGACTATTGAGTATGCGTAGACGAATACAATTTGCTTTTGATTTCAATAATGGTGTTAGCTATATTAGTTTTGCTCTCTATTAATTTATTTCTTAACTTTTATTCTATAAATACCCGTAAAAAGTTTCGACTAGCTGGCCGATAAGACATAATGTGTAAAAGGGGAAACAGAAAATTCTATCTATCTAATTAGAACTTGAAACCAACATATCGATTCTCGCAGCAGGCATAAAATGATTATAAATTACAATTAATAATTTCTTTAGATAATACCAATACTTAAGCTAATAATATAGGATGTATCATACAAATGTACATTCATATGTTACATAAAAAACTCCTATCATATACCCATTCTTAAACGATTCAATGAGTATAGAGTGCAGCTGTGCTTAGAGCTACATGCAAATGTTATACAATTTGTGGCATCCATTATCTATATATTAATGTTTATATTGTAAATATGATAAACATTGTCTGCACAGCAAATTGAATGCTGCCAATTAGCCAAATTGTATGGTAAGGCACTTGAGTTGGCAACAAATGTTCTAGTGGGGTATAAAAGACACCTCTGAAGTTGTTACTGCATCCATTGGGAGTCGAAAGCGGTAAAGTAAACCACTTCAACTAATTGTCCTTTCGAGCAAGACCAGAGACTCCGATGAAATTTTGTAAGTGCAACAGAATGTCATGAGGAATCCGTATAATGGCCTTCCGCCTGTACTTTTGCAGTAAATGTTGTCCTTGTTGGGCTGGTGACTGTTGTCGCAGTCTCCTTGCAGCCTACCATTGCTGACAAAAAGCAGTTGCGACCCAGCTGTAACAACGTTGCAGATGGCTACCATTTAGCGGATCCCACCAGATGTGCTGGATATTATATCTGCACCCGCGGCCGACCAGTACATCACAGCTGTAGCTTAGGACAGTCGTTCGACGAGGATAGCAAGTCGTGCAAAACATCCAGCCAGGTCAATTGTTTCAATTTTAGAGGTTTGGCCCTTCGTATTCATCTAGGGGCAGACGCTGGTGCGCCTGACTCCGAGCAACCGTGCTCAACAACAACTCCTCCATGTGTGACCACAACTCCTCCATGTGAGACAACTACTCCTCCGTGTGTGACTACAACACCTCCATGTGAGACAACAAC